AGCTTCAGAAAACATACTGCAACTGCGTTCCGCTTTATAATCTTGAAGCAGTTAGAAAGCGCATGAAACTAAAATGGAACGCAATACACTTCCATTAAGTCTAGTCTACAATGACATAACATAAAGCTATAAAGCTGTAAAGCGTGATTGTAAGAACCTATTTAAATGAATTATTTTCATTTCTTATGCTTAACAACCTTACATCACTGTATTGTATATTAATTTCATCTACAATTTAGTCAAAGAAAGAAAGCTCCACTTTATCATCGACGGACATATTTCCAGAACTTATACCTCTCTTAAAGGCACACCGCAAGAATCGATCTTAAGTCCACTTCTCTTCAAAATCTACTTAAGAAAACTCTTCAAAACCTTAAAAGCTTTATGAACAATTTTAAAATTATTGTACAGCTTGTACAATATGCAGACGACATTGCAATTTTCACGACCAACAAATCTTTGGCCATCGCCCTCAACTCTTTGGAAACCATCTTACACAGAATGGCCGACTTCTTGCGTTTAAGGGGACTGGAAGTAGCCCCCACAAAATCCAAATACATGATATTTTCCAGAAAAAAAAACATTCTCCCTCATTCAGACATAAAATTGCAGCGTGTCACCATTCCGAAGGCACGAAGTGCCAGATTTCTAAGAGTACAATGGATACGAGAATGGAGGGAAAGGAGCAGATTACGTCCCTCATCACCAAGGATACTGAGACAAGTCGTGAGTATCTTAAGCTCCCTGGCTTATACATCGTGGGGAGCTCATCCATCAGCCATGATTACTCTATACAAAGCTATCTTTAGAAGCGCCATAGAGTTTGATTGGGTGACACCCGTTTGATTGCTCATTCTTCTTTTTTCGTAGACATCAAACCCTGTTTTTAAAACTGGAAAGGCTACAACACAGAGTCATCAGAGTGGCTATGGGCTACAGGAAACCTCTTATTAATGTCGACCCCTATTAATGTCTTACATGCCGAGGTCAAGGAATTCCCGCTCTCCATACACTTCAAACTATTACTTCTTAACTTCTAAATTCGTTATAAAGAACTTCGCCATAAAACATAATCCAATCTTAAACAGTTTCGTTGAACTCCACTGAGACACAATCTCGAAATGCAAAAGAATTTACTTCCTTAGGAAAATATTTCTTTTCAAGGCCTACATCTTACAAGAACACTACTTGGATAATATATTTAAATCCTCGTTGCTGCCCGAATTTCTCTACGACTACGAAGTACTCACATTCATTACTCTTGGATTTCGTCTTTCTCCACGCTTCTCCTGAAAATTCGGGCAGAATTCAACCATCAGACTTCTCAGCCATACAACTCTCACATTTTCTACTTCATGGATGGGTCTAAAAAAGACCCCGATCAAGATGTAGGTATAGGCATTTACTCCCCACAGTTAAGAATTTCTCACAAAAGCTCAAAATTTCACTCAAAGGCTATCACCGGAAAGCTCCATTTTCACTGTCGAAGCTTGGGCAGTATACTCTCTTGCTCATTCTAACTCGCAAGGACAAGAAAATCTTATTTCTTCAGACTGCAAAAGCGTACTCGACTCTCTTAACTCTCCTTCATACAATTGCAATTTAAATTACATCATCCTAAAGATTAAAAACGCTTATTTGCAAGTTCTAGAAGCCAACTTGAAAATTCAGCTAGGAGAATTCCAGATACGCACATTTTCAATTGGACACACTACTCACATCAGCTGATGCCTAGAAATTTTTTAGTGAGCCACCTATCAAAAATTTTTTTATTTAATCGACCAATCGGCAATGTGTTCGATTGAACCTCACCCATTCAGTACTGGATACCAGCAGATCGAGACATAACTGGCAACGAACAAGCAGACCGCTTGGCGAAACAGGTGCGTACAAGGCTAAATCACATTCTCTCAAGATACCCTACACTGACTTACACAAACTCCCTAGAGATCAGGCACGCCGACTTCCTGTCCTACCTGCTCGCCGCAACCGACTCTAAAGGAGCTCTATATTCCCGTTTATATCTCTCGACATTGGATAAACCCTGGTTCAATAAATTACCTTTCAGACATCAAGAAATAATCCTCATTAATCGCATACGAAACAATCATTACAATCTTAACTTCAGTCTTAGCAGAAAAAATATAGTCTCTTCTAGCTCCTGTCCATGCAGCTCCTCACGTCAAGATATTAATCGTATCTTATTCGACTGCAGCCTTATACGCAATCATTTTGAACATCTTCATCGCTATTTTCTCAAGGCCTTCGATGGAGTTCCGAGAGACATCTTCCCCCTAATCAAACGTCCTCCTATCAAACTCTGTCGCCTCCTGGTTGTTTTCTTCAAAGCCTGCAATCTGCTTCTGTGATCCCTTAAATTTCCCGCGAAAGTACTTTTCTCTAAATGTCGGTCCACAATAGGTGATTTAAGCTTTAAGAAGTAAAGCCAGTGACACACGATGCTTTTTTTTGCTGGTTTGCTAGTTGGATTCGCGTGCTCGTGAGCTCTTGTCTTCGATTGATATATTTTTTAGATCCAAAAGAATATACCAATCAGAGACAAGAGCTCACGAGCACGCAAGTCCAGCTAACAAATCAGCAGGAAAAAAAGCATCGTGTGCCGCTGGCTTAAGAAATTGACTAATTATAATCAAATATGAAAAGAATAATTGACTATGATTGGTCAATTTCTTATGGTTTAAAGATTAAATATTTATTATGGACCGACACTAAGCAGAGCCGTCTTGCGGCTTTACCTCTACCTCCATGATCGCCGCGGAGCATGTACGGACAACACCTATCGCAACGAATCGTAACCTGTGTTGGCGTCGTTCGAAAGCGCGGCCATTTTCTAGCAGTGTCAGTATCAGGGTGCCATCCGATGCGTATCTCTATACGCGCGTATTCGCGTATCAAAGATATCCGACCAATCGCTGATGTTCCACCGTTTTACGTACATGTGTCAATTTTGTCTACTGTCCCATCATGCAGCGGATCGCGCGTAAGCGAATTAGTAGATCGCCAATTACAGAATTGTTTTGCTAGCTCTGTTTGCAAAATAATATTTTATGTTGTCCGTGATTGATGATTCGCTAATTCGCTTACGCGCGATCCGCTGCATGGGACAGTAGAACAAAATTGATGCGTACGTAAAACGGCGGAAAGAAACAAATCTAAAATCAATTCGGTAAACTAAAATTTCATATGGGAATTATTATCAATTGTTTATCGTTTATGAATTTGTCAATCGATTATTGTTATTGTGATAAAATGTTATTTTTTTATAGCAGACAAAATGGATTTAGATGACATATTATTAGCAATTTTCGTCTTAGTACAAAAATTTAAACAAAGTTGTCCTTTTGAACAAGAAACACTGCGTCGAAAAATTTTGCTCTTGTATGCATCTTGTATAAAGTTGTAAGAAGCGAAGGAAAAGGCAAATAACGTCAATTTTGGATACGACCTATATTTAATGTGCATCGACGTTTCTATTCTACTGTGCATCGACGCAAGGAGCTAGTGAAAATCTCATCAAAGAGATGGAGCTTAAAGATAAAACAAAATTTCGTAATTATTTCAAAATGGATTCGATTACATTGAAAAATTACTCGAATTAATTGGTTCATTAATTACTAGACAATCTATTGTTCGCGAATTAATTTCTCCTGGGGGTCGATCATGTAACTTTTCCCCTAAGACGGAAACGTGAAAAGTGAAAAGTTTCATGTGAACTTACAATCATGTATAATTTTGCGGGATCATATAACTCTCTTAAACGTGAAAATGTGAAATTTTTCACGTGAACTTTTTCGCTGTATACCTTGGTGGCGGAAACACGGAAATCTAGGGAATTAATAAATATGCTTCGGAATTAGAGAAGATTAGGGCTGCGTTAGGATTAAGTGTACGTAGTACACTTAATATGTACGTAGTACATAGTACATATACAATTGGTTATTAAAAGATGTATATAATACTGTACCAATAAAATAATTTTCATTAGCTATGTTTCATGATTTCACTTTCCACGCATCTAAGCTACATATATAATCGCTGTACGTGAAAAGTTTCAAAATGAAATGTCAAGGTGTGAAAAATGAAAAGTAAAAAATAAAAAATGAAAAGTGAAAAATTTCACTTAAAGTTACATGATTGACCTTTTAAATCTTCCGCTTACAAACCGCTGCATAAAGGCGTAATAAAACGGCGGAACGTCAGCGAGTGGTCGGAGCTTTGATACGCGAATACGCGTATAGAGATATGCGTTATCGGACGGCACCCTCAGGCGGGTGTCCCATGGAACGTATCGCGCGTATTGCGAATCGCGCATATCGAAAATCTGATCAATCGCGAACTTTACAATAATGGATTCGTCGGAACGGCTGAGTATCAAAAATAGCGAAACGTCCACAATTGATTTTCGATACGCATGATCCGCGATACGCGCGATACACTCTATGGGACAGCACTCTCAATATCATCGGTCCGAAATCTCGGATGAAAAGAGAATTAACCAATCGCATTAGTTAGTTGGCCGAATTATTTAAACGCAATTAGTCAATTTTCTTTCCATCCGAGATCTCGAATCGATTTCTAGCATCGTGGACACAAGATATTAAAGCTTAAATCACCTATTGTGGACTGATTAACGTGATATGAAGAGAAAATGACTACTTCGAAAGAATTAAATTTAGCCAAGAAAAATCTTGTCGCATCTCTTGGCGAAAATGCAAAAATGTAAGTTTTCACACAAATAACAAACTTTTGTATTTTGAAAAATAATATATTTTAAAGAAATAATTTAACCTATAAACCTCTACGGTTTAAATCTTATTTTTATGATTATCTTTTATCAATAGATATTTCGAGAAGATGAAATTGTGGTTTCAAATGAAGGTAGACGCATTTTTCGATCAACTTTTGCCAGATTTGCATATTTCTTACTTAAATTAAGATATGATTACATTTTGTTTTAGACCACAAAAGAAGAATTCGATTGTGAAGCACGTAATCTCATGACAGATGATCAGGTTCGTTTACACAACGAGTTCTTGCTGTGTTTATTTAATAAAGTTCGTGGATTAGCTACCGTTGCACCGACTAAGATAGACAGAGATAAAACTTCAAAGGAAAGGAGACTGAGACTAAAACGCAAATATAAGACAGATAAATCGAATTTTGAGGTATATAGATATATTTATTATAAAACTGTTTTATTATAGTTTATTATAAAACTGTATATTGTTATTATAAAACTTTATTATAAAACTGTTTTATTATAGTTATTTATCATAAACTATTATTATAGTTGAACTGTTGTCATATAGTTTATTATGAAATATGAATTAGATATGTGTATCTTGTTTGGCAAAAATAAGAAAAAAAAATTTACTTTAATTTAACTAAAAAACTATAAAGAACTAGCCTATATCAGAATGCAATATATAAATACAATTATTTGTATTATCTCTTTATGATAGCCAGCAGACATGTATGTGGAAGTATTAGGTCAAGCTTCATCACCTGTCGGAGATGAACCTATAGGTGCCAATCGTTCTAGTGCTCAAGAACTTGTATTGCCAGATCGTACTTTCGTATTAGCTCGATTAATGCTTGCAGCATGGGAAAATAATATGGACGGAGCTGAAGAAAATACCGCGCATATTGTCATAGCTGCAACACAAATTTTCTTAAAAAATATACTTACTGCAATTTTTACACGTAGGAAAGGATATGCTGTTCGTGATAATACGTTCATTTATAATATAGGAGAACCAGTGCCCAGTTCATGGAAGAGAAACTCCTTATATATAAATCCATTCAATTTTGGGTAAATTGCAAGTACTAATTTTAATTTTTTTTTTTTATACACGACTAATATTGGATTTGTTAAAAATTGACAGACCGACAGAAATAATGGAACCTTATGGCCAAATCCCAGCATCAAAATCAAGCTTTGAAGAAGCAGAGCAAGCCATTGCTTTTTCATATGCTTGTTCCACACAAGTAATTCGTCCACCATTAAAACCAGTAAGCACAGCTGATTTACAATATGCATTAAAGGTAAAAACAAAAAAAGCTATTTGTTCATGTTTCATGTACATATTTGTTATATGTTATATGTAAAAATTATTCTAATTTATTATATCTAATTTATTTTTGTAAATAGATTTATAAAAATCTTGTTAGCAATCACACCATATATGCTACTAATATGGAACGATTATATACATATGCTACTCATCCAACGTGGGAGGATTTGGAGGCAAAAAAATTATTATGTCAACCTTCAACATAAAAAATTTTCAATATAATTTAATATTTTATTTGCATTATAATTACTTATTTATTGAAATAGAGTTTGAATTATTATTTCGAGTTTGAATAAATTATTTTTTTCATTATATAGTATTTAAAAAATTACAAAATATAAAACAGATGACTAATTTTAATCATTTAGAAGTTTATGTTGGCTTTTAGATAGATGACAGAGATGAGAAAACTAATTAAAAGAAAAAAAATTTTTTTCATATTTTCATTATTTCTAGAATTTTCATTTTCTCATTTCTGATGTCATGATTCAGGATGATTATTGTAAACAACGTAAACTTTAATACCACTTTATATTAACATTTTTAAAATTATTTTTGCATATCAAATTTATTTTAATATTTTAATGTTATATAAATTGATCATATTTAATTTGTTGATATATTAATCTAACAAAATATAATACACATCTAATATAACGTAAAAAGGATAGTGTCTGTTTTATAATTTCAATGTATATACATAATTTTTACATTCTTATTTGAAATTTTCCAGCTTTAGTAATATATTTAACACCTTTGAATGGCTTATATTTTTCACCATACATATCTAACCGATTTACTTTTAATCCAGATACTGCTAATTGATTAATCGTAAAGTGCACCTGAAATCAAAATATTAAATTATCAATTCAATTCAATGTTTAGAAAAAGATATACGTATGCGCACGCACGCGCATTATCCTAAAATTATCAGAGAACTTTTTAAGAGTGGATTCTTTAGAAAATTCTAAAATGAATATATCGAAATTATAATACTTTTCAAATTATAACAACAAATAAAGTTGACCAATTATAGCGGCTAAATTTTGTGCGCTCGGGCACATTATATCGCATGACAGTGATGGTGCTCTCATATTGACTCACTTTCTAAGTTAACATAATTTTGCATATAATGATAAGGAGATCACTTTTGTCTTGTTATCTAAATATTTAATTTAAATTATATATAAGAATTAATGTCAGCCTAATATCAAGTCATACATACATAAAATTGTCAAAACTGTCAAATGAAGTATATCATGAGCAGATGCGTGATTTTCTCACATAATTATCATATGAAATTATGTTAATCAGTAAATTAATTTTTCATATTTCTATGGTGAATAAGAATACATAAATACTATAATGATAATATAAAATTCTTCTACATTGATAATTTCATAAAATCAGATCGAATATAAAATTATCAAAACAAGTTGAAAAAGTTTGAATTATTTATCCAATTTATACATTTATATACAATAAGTTGTCGACACATATCTATTCAACAAAATTAATATTTATAAAATGAGTTAATATATAAGGGTACTTTCACTACCATGTGATACAACGTACCTAAGTGCACAAAGTCTAGCCACTATAACTGATCAACTTTATTCCTTTATAATTTGAAAAGTATATAGACATTTCATATTAGGATTTTCATCTTAGAATTTTCTAAAGAATCCATTCATAAAAGGTCCTCCGGTAATTTTGGAATTGCCCTGTATATTATTCATACATACATTAATAGCAAGGTTTGATTCAGTAACAGTTGCCGAGTTTTGTATTGTGATCTAAAAAATATAAAATTTTATAATACAATTTTACTATTATAATTACATCTCTCTAAATGCTTTATAATCTTACCGATCCTCTCAGATTTGGCAGTTTGCAAGCATCAATCCTTCCAATATCCCATAGCAACACTTTGCTAACAGGATCAAACGAATACTTTCCTTGGTTTGGAGTTAAAGTGCAATTTAAGACTATTTTTGGCATAGGAATCTCTAGGATCACGTTTTCAACCTTCATTCATTAATGATAAGAATTACTGATTACTAATTAATAATAATCCATAATTCTCATATAATTAATAATCTCTTTAGAAAAAGATAACTTACTGTCCTACCAATTGTTTGTTTTGGTCCAACAGTTATATCCAATCTACCACCTCCTGGTTCTTTCAAACTAATATTATGTCTTACATATATTGGAATTGCTACAATGCTTTGTGATCCTATATGATATGAGAGAAGGCGAAAGTTACCATCAGGTGGAATAAAAGAAAGTATCCTTTCTGACTAAAATAAGATTATATAAACTTAAATCATTTTCGTAAACATACAAATGCAATCCTATATTATTTACTTACCTCCCATCTTTTGAATCGAACGCAAGGGTGGAAGCTAACATCATCGAACAATCTTGGATTCATAAATGAAAGCGTGAGATCTGGCATACCGCTTAATTTTATACAACAGTCAATCTAAAAGATTAATTATATATAATTAACATTTATGTAAGAAGCACTACAGAACATACATAGCCCTGAATCTCTGCAAACACTGTTGCTCCAGTTCGATCGATAATTGCATCTACTTCCTCAACAACATCAAAGTAAGCCTCATTGTTGGTATATTTCACTCCAGTTCGTCTCCAAGGAACGTTAGACAGTTGTCCACTAGGCAAGATTGCACTAACACTATGTGTAAATTTATAAATATATATGTAAATATGTAAATTTATAAAATATATAGTAATTTTTTATGTACATATCTCTAAATGTTACACTTAATACTTAAACATCGAGATATACTTACTTGGACTTGCCTGTTACAGTATTCGCTATAGTACGTAAGATATTAGGTGGTTTGATTAATTCTTTCAATATATTGGATTCTGTCGCCAAAGGAAAACCGTTGTCTAGCATTTCATCCAATAACTCATATACTACCACATAGTTTTCTTTTATAATAGTTTCTGTGCATTCGCTAAAATAATCTTCAAAAGTATCCACTACTCTATGCAAGAATTCAATGACAAACAATGGTGGAACTAGAAAAAATATTTATATTGAAATGCAAGAATAAAATATACTGTGTTACTCAATAAGGCAATCTAATAAATCTGGAAATGCAATATAAATTACTATAAATATAGCATTTATATCACATATGAAGCTTACCTTCTGTCATGCATACTGCCACGAAGAACATGTTACATCGATAGATACTAATAAGATAATGATGCGGAGTGGCTATTACCGGCGGCGTATCTTCTGGAGACAAGACCCTTCGCTGTTGATCAAAGAAATAGTCGCAGAGCGAACGTGCGACTGCGCTCTTCCAATGTTTCTCCATGAAGACATCTCTATGTACATATGAAATATATTAAATGACAATATATGTAACAAATGCCAAGAAATATCTAATATACTAAAATTTGGGTATTATACAGAAGGAGGGTAAAGATGTAATCTTTCGCTTTACTAAATTGATGAGTTTATCATATACTAAAATGATAGATCCTATAAAGATTAGCAAAGACCCTAAGCAAGGACTAGATGAAGTTTTCGCTGATCTTTTCATTTTATTACAAATCTAATCTTGTATTGTTTTCTTAATTAGCTCTTTATAGTGGGAGAGGGGCTTCTCCCCCAACCCTCTACCAGGAGGCTTCGCCTCCTTGACCCCCCATTCTGGAGGCGAAGCCCCTGAACTTCCCTATCATGCATATGGGATTACAACACATGGACGTTTTCCAGTAAGAGACACAGAAGGATACAGTGGGTGCTTTCCATTTAGTGACACAATTACGATACAAGTATCATTTTGTCCTTGTTAATTATTGAAAGCCAAGAAAGATAGAACGATACCTGTGTCAACTTGTATCACTAAATGGAAAGCATTGTAACACAGTGAAACATTTCTTCCTTGTTTAACATTAACAAACAACAAGAATAAAATGATTTGCTGTATTACACTGTCAATTGTGTACACTGTCTCTTGTTGGAAATCGCCCATATTCAGTTCGCTGCTTTACGTCACTATGACAGATTTCCTAACCAAAAAAAGCGATCAATTTTAACGCTTAATATCTCGGTTCACGGCACAGAGCGGCACTTTTTTCTGCCAGATTTGTTCGTTTTATGCAAAAATGCATTGAATAAGCATTGAATAATTTTATCCATTTTTGCGCTGAAGAGAGCTAAACTGAATAATTACCAATAAATTTTAATAGAGAATTAATTTATTCAATTTCGCAATCATTTTACACTACCCAGTAAAAATTTTTTATATAAAATATATATAAATATATATAAAAATATATATAAAAATAATAAAAATAATAAACATATAATTAACATACAATAAACATATAATTAAATACGAAATACGTTCACATATGTTCATATTAGTTTTTTTCTTTTGTAAAATTCCTATTTGGTGTAAGAAAAATAATAGTAATAAGCAGTCCACCGCGTTTTTATGCCAGATTCTTTTATTTTGAGTGAAATCGCATCGATTGAGTCCAATTTTATCAAAATCGGAGATGTAGACCGTATTCTATAATAAATAATTACCAAACTTTGTTATTCTACTTGGAAAATATTTATTCTATGTGGGAAGTATTAATATGTGAAACTATCAAACGATCTGTCAAATGAACTGTCGAACGTTTCTTATACTTTCTCACCTATAGTCCACTTTGTTTTTTATATTTTTATACATACCCTGAAGAATTTATAATAAAGAGACTGTGTATCATCTTCGTGAACAATATATTTTAGGAAAAAATTTTATTATGGAGTCAACTAATATATCAATACACAAGTAACGTTTCTTGTAGTCGGTGTTGTCAGAAACCAGAGAGAATCAGACGAAATTAGAGAGAAATCTAACAGCAGCCATATTGATCTTTTCTCTACGCACTAGCGACAACTGGGAGGTCAATCATGTAACTTTACGTGAAATTTTTCACTTTTCATTTTTCACTTTTTACTTTTCATTTTTCACACCTTGGGGTCAATTATGTAACTACATGAAATTTTTCATTTTTCACTTTTTACTTTTCATTTTTCACACCTTGACATTTCACGTGAAACTTTTCACGTACAGCGATTATGTATGTAGCTTGGATGCGTGGAAAGTGAAATCATGAAACATAGTTTCATAGATTTTATAGCTAATGAAAATTATTTTATTGGTACAGTATTATATACATCTTTTAATAATCAATTGTATATGTACTACATACACTTAATCCTAACGCAGACCTAATCTTCTCTAATTCCGAAGCATATTTATTAATTCCCTAGATTTCCGCCTTTCCACCACCAAGATACATGACGAAAAAGTTCACGTGAAAAATTTCACATTTTCATGTTTGAGAGAGTTACATGATACCGCAAAATCGTACATGATCGTAAGTTCACGTGAAACTTTCAAACTTTTCACGTTTCCGCCCTAGGGGAAAAGTTACATGATCGACTCCCTGTTTTGCAAGTCTGATTTATTTGTTTTTAACCTAAAAAATGGATGAACTATTAAGTTGGGAAGATATTGAAAATGATCGTAAGTGTATATTTGTATAAGAATTTCTTTCTGTATGAACAGTTTCGAAATATACATTTAAATTACAGAGTTTTTTAAACAACTGTTAGATTCTAATTCCAAAAAAACAGACGTCAGTCCATTGTTGTCAGTGGCCCAGCAACTGAATAAATTAGGACAAGGTAAAGTCGAAACTGGTTTACATCATTAAAACATTAAAACATTAAAACAAATATGAGAAACAATAAACTTAAATATTGCTTCTAGCTATCGAGGTCCTGAATATTGAACTGCAAAAACAAGTACTTGCTAATCATGAGGATTTACTGTCACAAGCGACATGGGTAGAAAAACTAGAAGGAGTGCTTTTTATAATGCAGTCTCATATACAAGTTAGCAAAGAAACTTTAACATTAATTACTTAAGTTATTAAGTTATAAGAATATGGATGACTTAATAATTCTTATTTTAGAGTCTCTTGTCAGCAGTAGAACGATTACGTGGCAAGATTATTGATCCATTTAATAGGATTGAAATGCAAACAATAGTATTGTCACGGCTTCATGAAACCTCAGATCTCTTAAGAAGAGTAGCTAGGATGCAACATTTATCAAAACGTTTAAATTCTCAAATGACTAGCATTACTCAAGGGCCAGACATAATTAAAGCTGCCAACAGTTTGCACGAACTTGGTAATACATATAACTTTCTATATTTTTCTCTATTATATTCTTATATACTAATGTATTATATTATAAAATTTAAATACGTAGAACAATTATTAGCAGACACGGATCTTAATGGTTTAGATGTAATCGCAGATGACCAACAGACTATAAAAACTCAGAGAGTTACAGTACAAAGAATAGCTACACATACATTAACGCAAGGTTTACAAATGACAGATAAAACAAAGGTATATTATTTAATTATTCTTAATAATTAAATGCATTTAATACTAATTTGATATATGTCTAATGGACAGGTGAGCACAGCTGTGCAAGTCTTTCAAAACTTGGAAATGATAAGCAGCATTGTAGACACAACTATAGAATCTATCCTAACTGAAATAGAAAAAATTTCTACAGATTCGTTAGATGTATCTTTGGTAACAAGTCAAGATTTTGGAAAACGTGGAGCGCCAGGCAGGGCTGCGATTCCGTCGCCTGGATCATCTGGAAATTTACGTACGAGAATTTGGGAAAATCTCGAACGTCTTTTCCAAGATACTTTATACACGCAATGTCTGCAAGTAAATAGACAATAATATGCAATATGTTTTTTATTTATTTTTGAGAGAGCTATTTTTAAAGAACATTATTTCATATTTAGATTGAATTGCTGCAAAGAGTATTGTTGGAACATCACATGAAAGGATTTCACGATTTATCCGAAAAATTTTGGGATAAAGTAAACGCTCTTCTTGCAAAAATCTTAGTTGAGCGTGCTCAAGGTAAATTGTAAACATATCAAATACACAATTCAATTAAAAAAAAAAAAAACTCCAATGAAAAATCTTACAGGGTCGTCATTTGTAAAACAAGCTCTAGAAGGGGAGTATCCCAAATTTTTAAGGATATATTTAGATTTGAGTAAACGTTTAAAAGAAAGATCTCACAGTATCGGAATTTATGATATCGAGTAAGTACATTTCGTATAAATTGGGGTAATGATAGACAAGGCATTATATTAACGTATGTATCTTCGATATCTAGCCGCAATATTTTATTACCATTTGAAAACGCATATTTATCACGTTCAGTTTCTCGGCTTTTGGATCCAGTTCACAATATGTTTTCTGGAGGTTTACCAACGCATGACGAGATCGATAATCTCATACGTATGATTACAAAGTAAGTTTGGCATATTTCTTACATTGAAAAAGATATAGTAAAAACATGTTTTAGTGAACTGAGTGTATCACTAGTGGATGATGGACTCTCGACTGTGGTGTCGCGTAATGTAGGAAAAGCAATAAGACTGTTCTGCTTAAAATGCGAACAAAGTGTGGTAACAGGTGGCGAAGCCAGCCAAGTAATCGATTCTCCTACTACTGGCCAACAGACGAATATCACGCTTGCAAATCTTCTGCATTATCTTTCCAACCAAACGAACCGTGTAATAGCAAATTTGACTGGAGGTTTATCGTCCGAAGGAAGCGTCGTCATTACGACAGCACTCAAGGAAACGGACGAATTAACGAGAAATCTGCTTGCACCATTGTTAATTTCTATTAGTGATGCAATTGAGAGCATTATCTTAACAATGCACGACGATCCCGAATTTAGAGAGTAAGTTCTTGTTAATTTCTATTTTTGTCCACTGATTTTGTTATCGCATATTATTGACGATATTTTGATTATGTAGCACGAGTAGCCCTCTAGGGAAAGAAATTGGTTGTTCTCTTTACATGCGTGAATTACAAGGCTTTATTTTACGATCTGTGAATACATTTCTACTACCGTACAAAAATCAAGTAGTTGTAACCGAAAGGTAAAATTCCTTCGCTTCCTTTCATCTATTATATGTTGATAACAAAGTATTAAATACCATTTCAATACCAGTTGTAAAGCTGTCGCGTCGAGATGTATAGAATTATTTGTGCGCCACGCTTGTTTGTTGAGACCTTTAACTGATTTTGGGAAAGCAAAGCTTCTGGTAGATTTTGCTCAGGTATGTCTTTCGCGTAAAGATATATTGAGTAGATGCATGTAAAACAGATACAAAATTTTAGATAGAAATAGCTGTGATGCCGTTGTGTCGCGGTGGCCAAATGGGTTTGCTCGAACAACAGCAATACAGAACTCTACGAGCGCTAAAAACTTTACTTCCCCTAAATCCCGAGGAGATGGTGGATAAAATTCTGGAAGGGCAAGGAGAGAGTAATGTCTCGCCATCTCTTATTCTTCTGCATCTGTTTTCTGGTGCACCGTCCGAATTGACATCACCTCATCAGGTAAAATGGATTTTTCTAAATATAATTCTCCTTTATAAATTTATTACTAAAGAATTAATAATTATATTTGATTTGAAGAAATTTATAAACTTTTGTATTTGTTGCATAGAGTGCCGGATGGTCTGTAGGCCGATTATCTCAATGGATGGATAATCATCCGAGCGAAAGAGACAGATTAACACTGTGCAGTGGACCATTAGAACGTTATCAATTAACAGTACGCCAACAAAATCTCCCATCATTTCATCCTCTATTTCCACAAATGATGAAATTAGCTAACTTGAAAGAACAGTCGAGTCAATGAAATATATATTGCATATATGATGTCAATGGCATACGATGTTTCTAAATAATACATATAAACATAAATATAAAAAATTGTATATTTTCTAGTATAAAAATATTTTTCAGACATAAACTGTAAGAGTTAAACTTGAAATTATAATTCTGTATGTAATTTGTTATAGTATATATCATAAGCTTATTTAGTACATAATAATATAATACTTATAAGAATATATTAAATTCAAAAAAATATTAAGAAATGTTATATCTTAATATTATACATACTCCATAACTTTTGAATATAAATTCTTTTACATAAATATAATCCTACTATTAACGTAACGCTTGTTAATGTAATACCAATTGTAGTCCAAACAAATTTACTTTTCTCCGGCCCAATCCAAGTTGGCGGTATACCAATACTATTTTTTTTGTCGATCTACGATGTAAATGAAAAATAAAAAATGTAAAAACTGTCTGAATAAAGATAAAATAATACTATTTATACTTTATATTATATTTTATATATATATATATATATATATATATATATATATATATATATATATATATGAGATACCTTTTGGGCCAGTTTCTTCATTTGTATTATTTCATTTTTTAGAAGTTTCATAGTTTTTTGTGTTTTTCTCAATTCTTCTTCATACTGTATTCTTATCGTAGGAGACAAGTAGATATTTTCGCTTGCAGCTTTTAGCAAATTATTTTTGACATACTGAAAACTGGAAACTATTATTCCAATCTGTCTTGTTACGTTTCCCAATGATATTACACCGTCATAAATTCTGTAATTGTATATACATGTACATATATGATTATTTTACATATTCTTATCGTAAAATATTAAAAAATGTAAAACATACGTATAAGAAGATTTTTTAATCTTGCCAAAACTGTTTACACGCCACTTTTTATTGTGAAATTTATCAAGACACTCAAGAAATTGGTCTCTATGAACAGTAATATCGATTCCTAAGTGACAAAGATCATCTTCTGTCAATTGCAAAAATGTTCTAATATCCATTCCTTGAAATAAAGTATTATATTTTTCCAAACCCATTCCAAATAACATCACTAATATGTCGTGATCTAAAAATTTTTTTTTTTGGAGACAAACATTTGGAAATAAATCTCTCCAAGTTGTTATCTGGAATATTTCACACATTTTTACAATTGTTTCTTCTTTGTCCTTTGTCCTAGTCAATAGAACAGATATCTAAAAAGTAAAAATTTAGAATTAAAATAAAAAGTTTTGCAATAAAGCTAAAATATCAATTACTTCTGTGAATCCTTTAGTATTAGCGATATCCTTGGCAGATAAATTATTAACATCCGTCACTGAAGTATTCACATTATGCTCCAAAAGAATTCTGACAATATCGGGCTTATTAGCTATGACAGCATAAATCAATGCCTGTAATGGGACCGATATTTATAAAAGAAAAATTTTGATGATGCTGAAACTTACAGTTTTTCCATCACTGTCACAGGAATTGATGTTTTGTACGTATTTTATAAGCTCAGTGACAAATTCCGCATCTTGTGTTTTACAGGCATACATTAGAGCCGTTTCTCTGTAAAAATTGTGATTATTAATATTTGTCAAATTAAATTAAGTAACAATGATAATTCTAACATTAAACATTATTGCTTTCTACAAATTTTTTGTCTGTATAATTTTAATTTTACCTTCGTTTATTTGTAATGTTTGCATCAGCCTTCGCTTGTATTAAAAGCTCAAGGCATTTTAGAGATTTTTTTGGTATTCCTTTTGTAGAGTTACATAGTGCCATGAGAGGTGTGAATCCATCTGTACCAATTCAATATAAACAATTAAGCAATTACTGAAAAACTTATATAAAATTCAAAATAAGGAATAACATAATAATATCTCATACCTCTATGCTTATTCGGATTTGCATCACGTGCCAAAAGATATTCTACTACTTTAGATTCTACTGATGAAGCAGCATATAATAATAGAGTCCATCCAGTATGCAGGAAGTTGTTAATATCATGTTCTATAAAAATATTCAACATTTCTTCATTTATATATTTAATTCAAAAACAGAAACAAAAACAGAAAAAGATACTAATCTCTCTTATCTAAAAGATCAAGATATCTATATACAAAATTAAGATTCGAATAATGTACAAAATTATACTAATATAATTTCATAAAGGAAAGGAAGATATATAAGATGATGATAAAGATATATAAGATGATGATATATTCTATGATTAACCCAATATTATTCTAGTATAAAATATGACAAATCCTAAGTACTATAAACATAGCATTATAACCTTACAGATTTAATATAAAAATAATGATATAACACTTACTTTCAAGATATTCTTCTATCACTTCTAAGTATCCCATAGCACATGCTTTTAAGACATGATTTTCAAAAATACGTGCCTCATCGTTAGTCTGATTGAAATCAATTGCTCTTCTCTTTTCTTCCATCGAATTCTTTTTTGAGATATAATCATGTTCTTCAATATTCTGTTAAAGAAACAAAGTGAGAGAAAGAAGTGCATTTGCAGTCGAATAAAAATTAACATACAAATACATAATCAAAAATAACTTAGGACATATTATGTTCAATTCTATCAATATCTTAATTTCAATCTAAAAATTAATTAATTTTAAATCTTAAATTAAATTTTATCTCTAATTCTTAAAATTAAAAAAAGAAATCATTCTTAATGTATATTTTTTATCAAAATATAAATTTTAAATTCAAATTTAATTCACTTTCCACTTTTTCTGTTTTCAAAATTAGAAAAAATTGAGTAAATTAAACAGAAATTAAAGTTAATCTACATTGATAAAAATAGACATTAAAGATGACTTCAAGATATCATAAAAAAATATTTTTAATAAGTCATCTCTAAAGTGTCAAACATCTTCAAGGCATTTGGTCTGTTCTCTGTAGTTAACTAAACCAATATACATTTGTACTTAAAATGAAATATGTACTTAAAATGAAGATATAGATTTGATGTTTGACAAAAGCGAAATAGAAAATAGAAAAGATGAATTATGCAAATTCAACTGAAAAGAACAGACCATATGTATGCCCTGATTTTGGGTTTTATATTGTCTGGGTATTAATTATACCTTTTCCAAAGGAAAAAAGACATCGTCGTCATCATCCTCTTCGTCATCGGACATGCCAGCAGGCCTCAAATTATGATACTTCAACATTGTTAGACTGATCAAGATAATACGAAAAAAAATTTCCTGTATCAATTCTCTTCGTCGAGAGTCTTAGGTTTGAAAATCTCCGACTCTGAGAACCGGCAAATCAGTTATCATGCATGCGCCGTATGACGCACGACATACGTGCGTTTATCTAAACTTCTATTTGTTTTCGAAAATCTCAAGACTTAACGAATATTCAATCTGATCTGACGTGAGCCGCAGTCTGATTATCATGAATATTTTTTCTCACCGTTTTACCGTCCTCAGCCATTATATACCAATGTTTCCACAGAAAGAAGCCTGAAAGCGGCCATCCTAACCTTTTTTATAGGAGACATTTATATTTATATATTAGATCGCTAACTTGCCTGAAATACATGCCCCAAAAAGTATGTACAAAACTCATGCGCATGCGTATGAAAGTATATCCTATATATGCTATATATACCGACACACAAATTTTATATATGTCACGCTCACGGCGCATTCACTCGCGTTACACTCGCGTCAGAAAAGGAAGAGAGTTTAGGAAAAAAACACAAACTTTATTATGCACTGAAACAATAACGGGAGCAATAACAAGAGCTTTAACAATTAAACAATTAAATATTTAACAATTAAATATGAATTCACCGCAACACGGCTCAAACTCGCGCGCCACGCCGTCGACTCTTTCTCAAATCATGCTTGATAACCGCTTGACGACCGCGTCAACAAGGAACAATCTTCAGGAGGTCGATCATGTAACTTTTCCTCTAGGACGGAAACGTGAAAAGTTTGAAAGTTTCACGTGAACTTACGATCATGTACGATTTTGCGGTATCATGTAACTCTCTCAAACATGAAAATGTGAAATTTTTCACGTGAACTTTTTCGTCATGTATCTTGGTGGTGGAAAGGCGGAAATCTAGGGAATTAATAAATATGCTTCGGAATTAGAGAAGATTAGGGCTGCGTTAGGATTAAGTGTATGTAGTACATATACAATTGATTATTAAAAGATGTATATAATATTGTACCAATAAAATAATTTTCATTAGTTGTATAAAACCTATGAAACTATGTTTCATGATTTCACTTTCTACGCATCCAAGCTACATATATAATCGCTATACGTGAAAAATTTCACGTGAAATGTCAAGGTGTGAAAAATAAAAATAAAAAGTGAAAAATGAAAAGTGAAAAATTTCACGTAAAGTTACATGATTGACCCCTAGGATAGCATCGAGCAGAACACCGCTCGGTTGT